ACCACGCCGCATTGCAAATGCTGAGCAAATAAGTCCAAAACAAGAGACTTCAAATAAATATCGTTTAAAAGAACATACGATGACCACAAGGATAACACTGGGATATTAATTAATGTTAATTAAGAAATGTCGCATTCAAACGTGATGCGAAATTTTGATATACTATATGTGCAACAATTTTAACGAGATAGAAGACACATGATGGCCGAAATATGTTGTGGGGAAGAAGGGTGACGCATAATAAGTTGCATAGCAAATAGAAATATATGAAATAAATAATAACAAAGCCGACAGGTTTCAGCCACATAACAGGCATTTCCAGCAGCGTTCAACTGCAAAACGAAACTTTATGCTAATTTTATATTAAGAACTTAAATTTGTTTATAAAGAAAAGTTTAAAACACTGCCGACATTAAAAGTGGCATAATGTATGACCTATACGTCATTACTAATTTGAATTGTGTTCCCTCTTCAATTTGTTAACATGGCATATCCATTCTTTCTTTAATCTGTATTGTTTGCATCCTGTTATGTGTCATGATCTGATACTCTGGCTATCAACACAACAAATATTTCAAAATAAACCAATCTAGTTTTTTGCAATGGTTTTATTTAATAACTGCTATATGTTTCGGTCGATATTTTGGACCGTCCTCAAGCAGTTTCATTAAAAACATCTCATGTTATTTAAATATCCTAATATGGATCCATAACAGTGCTGAACATCATAATCATATTAAGTAAAAAGTAAAATGTAAAGCTATCCCTGTACCAGGCCGTGAAGGCCCATAGTGTTGTGCGACGTTGAGGGTCCCACATTATCTAGACCAGTGTTTCCCAACCTTTTGGATGCCGCGGACCCCCAGTACCGAATGTTAATTGACCACGGCCCCCAAAAAACCCAAAATGGAAATTTTTTATATTTTACATATTATGAAAGTGAAAAAGTAACTTACAATTTTACAACACTGAATGTGTCATTTATGACAACAGAATGCTGTTATAAATGGAGCTTATTCGGAAGATCACGAACATATCAATTAGGCCTAATATTATGAATTTAACACTCACCCAATCAACGATCCACACTTTAACACCGATCCATATCTAAATAAGATCGTGAACAAACTGAAAATCGACGTTTTGTTGTGAACTCAATTATTTTAACAAGAGCAGAAAAACTGGATATTAAACCGAGAAAAACACACTTGTATAATATTATAAAAATCCACTGCACAAAAACTAAAGAGACATGGGTTGTTCACTCTGCCACTGAAATGAATAAGAAACGTGGTCAATGGTCCCGGCTTTATTCCCAACCAAAGAGGGATGGATTTGGTGGGGGGGGGCACAATAGTCAGACAGCAGGTAAGCAGGAAAACAGTCCACCCTGAAACACGGGTCTGAGATGCAATGCGCCTACCAAAAGAAAATGTCCTTGTAAAAAGCTACACAAATCGTTAGTTATTCACCTCTGCTTTACAAAGGGAAGAAGTAACGGTACCAACAGTCCCGTTAAATTTTACTTCAACCATGGGCCTCAAGAGCCAGAGATATACAGTGCAAATATCCCAGGTGTGAGGAACATGATAAGATAAAGTTTAATGAAAATAAACTATCCCGCGGACCCCTTTTGAATTACTCGCGGACCCCCGGGGGTCCGCGGACCACGGGTTGGTAACCACTGATCTAGACAATCGGCTCAAATATGGCGGTAGCGTTGTCAGCCTTACGTGCCGGCCGCGCTTTACTCCCCAGGGCCTAGTGCGGCTGGAAGGATTAGGTCAACTGGAAAGAATTCCAATGACCTCATCGGGACCTGAACCCAAGACCTTCCGGCTTGTAGCATGGCCCCTCAACCACTACGCTACCGCGTGCCCCCTTCATATCATATAATACATATAATTATTACTAAAACGGCNNNAAAAAAAAAAAAAAAAAAATCCTCTCATTGCTACAACGTAAAATTCTGTGTTATATTTATTACATATTTTACCTGTAAGTGGTGCTTACCTTCTGGGTCTGCTGTTATGTTTTTGGTACTATTTGTGTACAATATTAGTTTTTTATACATGTTTCTTCTTGTCTTCTTGAATGTGATGTGATTGTTCTTTTCTCTTTTAGAGTGTGCTGTGTACTTCTAATTGTGTGCAAAATTGTTTTTGTGTTGTTCCTGTTCCTGATTTCAATGTGTGTGTTTTTAATACTGATTTGATCTTTAAGGTAATAAATAATAAAAGTAACCCTATCCCTGTAACAGGTTTTGGAGGCCCATAGAATTGTGAGATGTCAAGGCTCTAACATTTTCTAGACAACTGCCTCACAGATGGCGGTAAGATTGTCAGCCTTAAGCACTGGCCACCCTTTAGTTCCTGGACGATTCCTGGTACTCATTTTGTTATAGGCTGAGTCGACCCAGGGCTAAAGTGTTGCTGGAAGGATTAGGTCAACTGAAAAATCAAATGACCTCAACAAAAATTGAACCCGCGGCCCTCCAGCTTGTAACACAGTGCCTCAACCAACTACATGCTTCCAAAATAGCTTGGTTCCTAATATAATGTTCCACTCCCATTTTGCACTCTCTTATGAATTTCATCTCCACAGATGTGATTCAGGATTTACCACAACTTTGCATTATCTAAATTTCACCTCTTAATTTTGCTGGAAAAATGCACAGTACTTCAATGTGAATTATCAAATCTTATTTATTTTACTTGACATGCATTCTGCATTTCATGTTCAAATGCTGGACACCCTTGTCTTAGTTAACTGTCATATTTTCTATATATACATGTTGGTATCATTAGGAACCATCTATGTGTGAATAGGTGTTAAAACATACAAAACAAGGAAGGCTGTGCACAACTGCCCAATTAAATCTTTCCCTAGCCCAGAACTGAAACAAGTGTGCATGCCTGCTTTACACAGTCAATTTGGTAAGTTTCAGTGCCTTCTGTAACACCACCAACATAACTTTCATAGCAGGAAAATTACTACCAGGGGAAAATGTTTCATACCTACAGACTGTTCAACAGATCATAAGCTATGGAAGTGAGTTGTGCAGTACTTGTGGCTATGTTGCTAGAAAATGATGTATCCCTTCTATGCAGCTTAAGGCTCAGGTCAGACAAAACTGCCTGTAACTTATCCAGCTAACAAAAGACTCAATACCAGCTTTCACATAATATAGTCTAAAAGCTCTATTCTGCCAATACAAAACACCACCACTGTACACAATCCTACATCAGTGAAAATCTCATTAAAATTTCCACAATTAATTTCTTCAGTACCCATTTTGATATTACTCTCCCACCTTTCTGATTTTTAAAATGATAGCATTTCAAAACGTTTCCCATCAAAATCCTATATAGATTTGGGATAGTTCTTTTGGTATAGCAATAGGCTACGAGCGGGATGGCTGTGGTTTGATTCCTGGCAGGGGAAAGACTTTTCTCTTCTCTACTGAGTCGAGACCAGCTCAGAGCCCCAGGCAGCCTCCTATCCAACGGGTAGTGGGGGTACCTTCCCTGGGGATGAAGGAGCTAAAATGTGAAGCTGACCCCTCATTTCTATCTAGTACCGACGTCAAGAATGGTGGAGCTATACCTGCAATCCCTCCCATGTCTTCATGGCATGGTGCTTAATCAGTCAAGCAATGGGGCTAAAATCATATCCACTCCCTCCCATGTCTTCATGGCACAGTGCTTAAGCAATTAAGCAATGGGACTTTATCTTCATCAAAATCCTATATACATTTCTTACTTCATCCATGTGCACTAATACATCAAGATCAGTATAAACTCTTTGATCTGACCACCTCAATAACAATAGCTGAGCTGTAGAAATCAATAATTCCTATCCACCTCACACATCACTGGAGTCAGACCCTTCTGTTTTTACACATTAACAAGATCAAACCTGAATTCAGAACTTTTTGCCACTGATTCTGCAATGCATCATAACATTTACATTGTGAGTTATAGTACATCATCACTGATATAAGCACAAGAATGGAAAGATGTACACCATTACAGAGTGCACATATTATCTAAATAAATTCTTTGTGATTCTGCATTTTTGCAGTTTCCTACATTCATGTGGAGTCAGGATAGCTCAGTTGGTATAGCAAATGGCTATGGGTGTTCAATTCCTGGCAGGGACAAGATTTTAGTCCTCTTCACAGCATTCACACTGGCTCTGGGGCTCATTCAACCATCTACCCAATGGATACTCAGGGCGATATCCCCAGGGGTAAAAGGGCCAGGGTTTGAAACTGACCAACCACCTCAATCTAGTGCCAAGGTGAAGAATGGTGGAGCTATACATCCACTGCCCCATTTCTTCATGACATAGTGATTTATTAATTAAGCACAGGGACAATTTTACCCTTTACCTTCTGTTCATTTAACAGATGCACAAATAAACTGTTAAAACTTTCCATGTGAAGCTGGGAACATTGATCAGGATTTATATGATGTTCAAGATTAGTGAAAGAAAAATCCACTGCCACCTCTCAACAGTTAAAAACAAACTTTTCAAAACAAAAGCAATTTAATGTATCAACAAAGGGTTCCCCCTAATAAAAAACCAATAAGGGCTACAGGAATGAAAGTACAGTATACATACTCCAAGCATATAAAATACTTTCCCTTTGACTTCACTAAATACATACTACATCAAAATTGTTGAAATAACAGCTCCAGACCTTAAAGACATCTGTATTTTGTGACACATAATAATCTATTTTGGTACAGTGAGCCTTCCTTTTATAAATTTGATTAAGTCAGATTTGAGCTTTCTGTGAAGTAAGGGAAGTAAGTAAGTGTTAGTCACTTATGAACTGGAATGGAACTTGAATTAAAACTTTTATTGCAAGTCTCCATACTGCAAATAAAATTAAGTAGGTAGGACCTTTTCAGCATGTGTTTATGCACCTGACACAAAGAAACAATATATATTATAAATGCTGAGGTGCTTGTTTTTACACCCCATGTTTACAGAGAACATTCAATTAATGTGGAATTCTGAAGCCTTCACTACGTAACGTGTTCTCATCAGGTCATTAACAGTTAATGGAACTGCTGGAATCTGGTTTGTAGGAGTTTCTGCCTGACTTCATCATAAGGATGACTCTGCTACTGCTTCTTATGGTCTCATTCATTGCTACTGGCAATTGGGCACAAGAGAGGTAAAAGAAGCTACTTATCAGTTTGTGACAGAACATATATCACCTGACTTTTATCTAACAGCTGGATTTATGGAGAGAGGTTTGATCCCAGGACAGTGGTCGACAAAGTGGCATCCTCAACATAAGGGGCTGATACTATAGGCACTTTGAAGCCACTGTACTGAGGAACTACCTCATCCCAATCCTAAATCAATTAATTCTTTGAAATGCTGATAGTTACTTACCACTCCCATCATATTATATTACCTGACAATACAGTTACAGTTACACACACAAGTGATCCTCAAGTTTTTACCAATACTTTGATTTTAGCAAGCGCATTTTCCAGTTTGTCTTCCTTGTCGGTTTCACCGCGGCATTTTATTTTCTATCTTTTGCACAATATCTGTATATATATATCCATTTTCCCTCTTACAATTTTATTATGATACTGATTCCCTTTTCCAACATTATTTAAAGTCTGTACGTGATGCTGTCAGAATATATCAAGACCACGTTTTAGAATATTAAGTGCCACATACGATCATTTATTAGTATGTTGCACTGTGTCAAATGCATAAGCATTACTGTAACTCTGCCAGGACCAGTGCCATGCTACACAAACAATGTCAAGCAAATGCACAGAGAGACCTCTGTGTCCACAGTAAAAAAGAGAATGTGTTCAAATTCAAATATTATGCATGCAAGTCAAATTTATTAACATATGTATGAATTAAATTCAAGAGCAATTCAGCCTCTAACAAAGCATCAGCCACATTATACTGTACCCTCTGGCTCAACCAGTTACTATGACATTTCTTATAACAATCTGTCTCTGCTGATTTCAATGAAGCTCTGTCTTTCTGGTCTATTATGTAAGGCTTAGTAACTGGAAAGAAGTAAATAAGATCTCAAAGTTTGTGACCATGGTACATTAGTACAAATATTATGTTTGTGGACATTATCCATCATCATGTCTTTATCTAAAAACACTGTCCTGTTTATATTACAAAACACAACGTTTCAGAGACTGGATTCTGTCTCCCTCTCCAGACACCTGTGTCCGGAGACAGGGACTAGCTCTATCGATTGGAACCAGCTGAGTAGGTTTTGTCTGAAGACAGAGAAAGAAGCCAGTCTCCAAAACATTGTGTTATGTAATATAAACAGGACAGTGTTTTTAGATAAAGACAGGATGATGGATAATGTCCAGAAACGTCATATTTGTACTGGAAAGAAGTGTCCCTAGAATCTTCCAAAATGTACGGAACTTAAATAGCGAAATGAATGTCTATTCCAACATCAGAGTCTGGACGTGGCAATGCCAGGAAGGACGATGTGTAAAACAACTGCTTCAAAGGAATGAGACCCCACAAGGCCTAGAAGCCTGCAAATTAGTTTGCGACATATACAGCACTCTCTGGCCACGACCCACAGGCAAGGTGGAGCTTGGCAGAGTCCTTGTGCCCATCAACTATAATGCCATCACCATTATTGGAATTTCAGGTGAGGGACCACAGGTGACACAGGTCTGATAGTACATAACACAGGTCATGTTCACAGTGCTGTAACAGGCTGTGCAACAAGACCTCCATCTCATTCATTTACACATTTAATATTTTGAAGAAATACAGTTAATGGTAGGCTACGTGATAATAATGGACAAGGGCCCATTTGTTCAAAATAACTGCTGCTGTTCCATTACTTTATGTTAGCAAGAGGGGATGGAAGACAACAGTTGTGGGGGTAATAAATTCAGTGAGCTCTGAGTGGGTAGCAGAAAGAGAAAAAGTAACAGTGCAGCTGTATATCCACTGCAAAACTTTAATGGTTATTACCATGAGATTTATTGATGTAGTCATGCAGAATTTTTACTGCTGCATAGCTGGACTTATATTTGGACATTACTTTGTTCAAATGTGTAAACTTTGTCTTGCATTGAACTTAGTATAGGTGGCATATATAAATTGGTAATTTTATGTTCATTTGTAGCACCATACTAATATCTCCTTACCCGATCTTTTCTTGTGCAACTACCATATATTCCTTACAAGTAAATTTAAGAGATGGGTTCAATCAGATTTCTATCACAACTGAAATTGAGTAGCATTCAAGAAATAATAGGATAGTAGTTTTCTACAGAACTTTCAAGTCTCCACTTCTGTCACCCATCTCAGTGCTGCTACATACTCTTACTATTTTTTGAGGAAAATATACAAGCACAGACATTAGTATACTCTCATGTACAGCTGTACCTGTGGGTGCAAAACAGTTTTTATCACATAAAATGAATCACTTATTTCAAGAGGTTCTTCATTCCCTCTGACTGTGCTGTCTGATAGCTCCAGCATCAATTGATAGTTTCTCCTTCCACCATTGCATGCTTTCTACCATTGGCAGCATTCAAATCTTACCTAAAGGAGCATACAATATTGTTATACTATACAGACATGAAGCTACCCAGTCAGTTATGTAGTTAGCTAGTTTTTTAGTTATAGTCTTTCTCTGTTGAGTCATGGCCACTTTGCCCACAAGTTCAAATTGGCACTTGAACAGCTAGCAGTGGCTGTGTTAAGCTACAATGATCTGTAGTTTCACTTTGTGTTCTGTCCTACACAGGAGAGGGTCGAGCACTGAGTGAAAATGTGGGGCAGCTCTTCAGCACAGCAGCTGACAACTTCCGTAATCGGCTGACTACAATGTTCAAAAAACAGGAACAGAGAACCTCTGGTGGCAAATCACTTCAAGTGCAAGTCACAATTCATGACTCTTCCACGAGGACCTTGACGATGGAATCTGATGAAAGCTATGAGCTGTACATATCTGAAGCAGATTATAGCCAAGTAATCTACAATGATCCAGTGTTCAACAGCATAGAAGTGTCGCATAGAATTTACCAATTTTCCTTGTTTCTAGATCAAACTTTAGACTTATCCCATCCTGTACAGCTTCCCCTCAGTATATTCTGAACATTTCTTTCCATGTTTGTCTGGTCTCCCTCAGTCTCTTTCTCTTCTCTTTCATGCTGTACTTTCTTATAGAGTATCATCAATTGTCATGTTATGTTCTTGTCAGAAACATGTAAACCACCACAGGAAATCCAGACAGATACAGCCCCCCACAACTGTGAGCCAAACCCCTAATTAGAAGCAAAAACCTGCAGCTCATAATCTGATGGCTAGCAGTTCTGTTTTATGTTCAGCAAATCATAATGTTGGACCTGAAACTGGCTATCCAAGTTTCTTTTGGTTTTCCTCAGTCTCTCTAGGCCAAATGTTGGTAAGTTATCTCAAAATAAGCCATGACTGCTTCCTTTCACATCCTTTGCAATTATGGCCAGTGCCCAATTAAAAAAAAGTTTACTTATTTAATTATACAGTGGCACAGTGCTTAATTAATTAAGCACAGGGACAACTTTACCACAAAGGACAATTTGTTATGCATTATAACTTAGGGCTAGGTAAGGTGAAGTAATTGAAGAATGAAGAAAATTACAGAGTATGGGGCTTCAGAGATTGTCCTCTTCACCTTGTAATTGTTTGTAGTAATTAAATAAAAAATGAACAGAACATGTAATATGAATAATTCAAACAACAATGACATATAGAATGCAAGCTGGAAAACCTTAAGTGAAAAACCACATGCAAGACCTGGGCATCATTTTTTTTTATTATTCTTAGTGGAGTGAGATTGAGTCCACTTGGTACTGCAGCCACTACTGGTCTATTGTACCAGCCCCAGACAATAGATGATGGTGACCGTGGAGCAATGATGGAATGAAGATTGGCAGGGGAAACCGAAGTACTTGGAGAGAACCTGCCCCAGTGCCACTTTGTCCATCACAAATCCCTCATGACCAGACCCTGGTCTCGAACTTGGGCCACAGAGGTGGGAAGCCAGTGACTAACCGCTTGAGCTATGGCACAGCCTAGGTGTCACATACATATAGGAGCGCATTAAACTGCAACTCAAGGAAATAAGCTGTGATGACATTAACCAGACTGAACTGGCTCAAGACTGGGCTCAAAGGTAGGATTCTATATACATGGCACAGAAACACTGAGCTCCTTAACAACAGGAATATCTTGATTAGAATATTCAAAGAACTCCTTGTACCATTAGATAGCAATGTCTATCTAAAAAGTAAAGAGTAAAAAGCAAAGCAATCCCTGTAACAGGCTGTGAAGGCCCATAGGGTTGTGAGATGTTGAGGGTCCCACATTATCTAGACAGTCGGCTCAAAGATGGCAGTAAGGATGTCAGCCTTACGCAACCTTCTGGCTTGTAGCATAGTGCCTCAACCAACTATGCTACCGCGTACCCCCAGCAACGTCTATCTACCTATTTTTATTCCTGCTGCTCCCACTTGGAACATAGGGCATCCCTAGATGAGTGATCAGCTCATCACGAGGCCGTTAAATACACACAAACAAAGAATAAATGTAGACAAACATCCATGCCTTGAGTGGGATTTGAACCCATGATCCCAGTGTTTGAGTGAGCTAAGACATTTCATGCCTTACACCACATGGCCAATGTGATCAACAACAGTAATGTAGTTCATGTTTTTTTCAAACAGGTGCACTGTAACATAGTTTCTGCCCAGTTTTTCGGAGCCAACTACGGCTTGGAGACATTAAGCCAGTTGACAACTTTTGATGATGCAGCAGATAACTTGGTTATCATGCGGGATGTGAATATCACGGACTCACCTGCATTCCCCTTCCGAGCCCTTGTCCTCGACACAGCACGAAACTATTTCTCAGTGGCTTCCATCAAACGAACTATAGATGGCATGGCAGCCAGTAAACTTAACACATTCCACTGGCACCTTACAGACTCTCACAGCTTTCCTTTCCAGTCGAGTACATACCCACAGCTGTCACAGTATGGGGCCTACACACCACAACAGGCAAGTGTCAATGAATCACATCAACTTATGTTGGATGGATTTGAAAACTTGTTATGGGACCTAACCTAACTAAACAGTATCAACATGAATCACATGTCTAAATTAATAATGAAGTAATGCGGTATAAATCATTAGAAGAAACAAAAAATTATATGGACCATTTTCAAGTTTCACATTTTTATTCTGTACTTCCAGATATACACACCCCAAGATATCACATCGGTGGTGGAATATGCAAGGGCACGAGGGGTGCGTGTACTTCCAGAATTTGATGCACCAGCACATGTTGGGGAAGGATGGCAATGGGCAGGGCCTAATGTCACAGTGTGTGTGAATGCTCAGCCCTGGAACAAGTACTGTGTGGAGCCTCCATGTGGTCAGCTTAATCCGACCAATGACACTGTCTACGAGATTCTTGGAGGAATATACCATGACATATTTGCTCTGTTTGACTCTGATATGTTCCATATGGGTGGAGATGAGGTTAGAATAAAGCAGTACCAGCAGTTCTATGCCCACAAATTATTTAACCCTTAACCTGTTGAAGGACTAAATGATCCAGTGTAGCAGTCTCTTGTAGCCCTCCCAAGATCTCAACTGGCTGATGCTTAGAAACTGGTTGTGTATGTCATATCCTACAAATGTATTAAGAGATTAAATCACTATGAAAGATACTGGATTAACATTTCTTCGCTTCTTATATTGCCAGAAGTTTCTTCTGTATGGGTCATTCTGGAAATTTTTGCATAAACTGTAGCACCATGTTTTCATTACAATGTTTAATACTTTATTACTTTATTATTAAACAATAAGGAACTTATGTTATAAACATTACATAATATTATTTAGTCAAATCTTAGAAGCTTAAGTGGTCAGGCATGTAGATAAATGGAGAAGACAAAGAATGCATATGGAATTTTGGTTTGGATCGGTTGAAAAATTACCATTTGGAAGATCAAAAAGAAGATGGATGGATAATATTAAAATGATCCTGGGGGAGGGGGAAGGTTGTTTGGCTGGGAAGTAGATAGAACTAGATAAGGGTTACATCCAATGACAAATGTTAGTATTAGTCGTTACGCAGCAGATCATTTTCTATTTCAATTAATTTACAGAATACTGAAGAGATTTTATTTCCATTTACTGCAGGTGAATTTTGAATGCTGGAGGTCCTCTCTAGACATTGTAAACTGGATGACAAGTCAGGGTATGGGTCAGACAAATGATGATTACCTGCAGCTGTGGGACATGTTCCAAAAAAAGGCATATATGAAGGTAGTGGAGGCAAATGGAGGAAATGAAATTCCAATAGTGCTCTGGACCAGCCACCTCACTGCAGAGGGAGCAATAGACAAGTATCTGGACAATGAGATATACATCATTCAGATCTGGACAACTGGACGAGATGCAGCAATTGCAAATCTTGTCAACAAAGGTTTTCGTGTCATCTTCTCCAACTACGATGCCTTATATTTTGACTGTGGGTAAGTTAATGTGAGGAATCCTTACACTTTCATACAAAATATCAAGAGATTATTTAGCCTCTTCCAGGATACAAATAAGATATCCCACCTCCAGTTCATATCCTCACAAACAACTTTCCTAAGAACAATTTTGTTGCTGTTGTTATATTTAGGCTATAACATCATTGCTACTCAAAAACAATTTATGGGCACTGCAATACTAATTAAGGAAAGTCGGGGAACAGTGTATCTATAATTGATTCTACACACTACACTGATACAGAAATTGTACACTCATGAAATGATGATGTTGACTACAGGAATGAAGTTCCTAACAGTCTTAATGGTCAAATTAAAATAAGGATATACCCCATTCTATCTATATAGGGTTTCTATAAGGATACATTTCCCAGAAGACTATCAAGTCATATCTAATATACACGGCATTATATCCAAGAAGATTGTACTCTTCTTAAGCACCACTGTGAGAACCTCAAATCATATACAATAATTCTTCTTGTCTTCTCCCACGTTAGATGAAGAATACAAAATTATGAAGAATGGCAATACTGAAAACTGGCAACAGTATTGTGAAGTAGGGGACTCAAACTACATTCTATAATCTACTTGCAATTTACATAACAATAAACATGATGACAGAATGATACTTGTAGGTTTGGTGCTTGGGTTGCTGAAGGCAACAACTGGTGCTCACCTTATATTGGCTGGCACAAGGTGTACATGAACAACCCATACACTCTGCTCACCAACCTTGGAGTGGATGTCAGTCCTGGAACAGCAGCAAGGGAACTAGTTCTGGGAGCTGAAGCAGCACTCTGGACAGAACAGGTTGATGAGAGCTCCCTTGACGGACGCTTTTGGCCCCGTGCCGCTGCCATGGCTGAACGGCTTTGGAGCAATCCAGATGAGGGGTGGCAACAAGCAGAATACCGTATGCTTGCTCACAGAGAACGCCTAGTGCAACGAGGAATTCAGTCAGAAGCCCTGGAACCACAATGGTGTTACCAGAATGAAGGCTCTTGCCCAAGCCAAGGTATAAGTTGTATGCTATAGCTGGAACTCTGGGTCTAAATGCTCATAAACCTTCACTCACTGTTCAGAAGTCATGACCAGTTTCAGCATTTAGAGTTTAAGAGCTGGTACAGAATTATCACCTTAAGTAACTGTTATTTTTCTCCTTCATTGTTGTTCTACTGTTATGTGGAGGAAACAAAAAAGGAACAATTGATAATGGCAGAAAACGAGGAGTAAATAATGTAACACGTAACTTCAGCAGGTGTGTGGGATGAATTATCATTACAAATTATATACGTTTTAGATGTTTAGTATAAGATATATGGTTACAGGTAACACTCCCTATAATCCCCAAGGCAGCCCCTTACTCCTGCACTGTGTATAACAGACAACCAATGTCAGCAGGCCCCTTCCTTGAAATACCAGAATATCCAAGCTTCACCCCGTATAAAATCATATTTTATTGCAACAATTGCATCATGTGTTCCTTTCATCCTTCCAGATACAATTTCCCTTGCCCATTCATATAAATGTTTAAAAAGTGTTTCACTAGTCATTTCACTTCTGAAAACTTGTGTCAATATACATTTCAATTGTGCACTTTGAACATACTACAAAAAACTGATTCATAACAGAGTAACACTGGCCATGTCCTTGTTAACTGCATAAATCTGCCTTATATTAAAATTAACTACACTAACTTACCATTTGGTAACATATTACTACTTCCAAAGCCTGCCAATGGATGTGATCCATCCGTCACCCTTACAACTTATCCCCCCCCCCAAATACTGTCAATACACATCCTTTTCCAACAGTTAACTTAATGCAGCATACCAAATGTACCAGTTATTTAATGCTGAATGTGATATAGTGATATTTTTATGATCTCAGAAAATGTTAAGGGATGAAAGGGATGCTGGAGGCCTTTAACCTATCTTGAACATAGCACTGAAGGAGTTATTTTAAGAGCACAAAATAAAACTGCATAAATTTAACTCTCTTACAACTGTTCATAATGTCAGTGGCTATGTAACTCTGCCCAAAATAAACATTTTACATGGCAGTGCCATTTCCTGTCATGTACATGAATTACAAGAAATAACAGACCTAATATTACCTGCCTCACCAGCTCAGTCAGTTCAGACAATTCTTCAAACAAAAACTTACATCTGACATTTTGCTGTAGTGGTTCTACAGAATGTCTGGAGCCATAGGCAGTACCAGAGGCGTGATGCAGTTGTTACAAATTGTGCTCAATGTATGCACCATTCATGTTGACATAAACGTTTCTGCCAGTCCAGGAGACTGGCATGAACTGTTTGTGGTGCGATCTCACTGCATGCAGTGATAATTCACCCTTGAATATGCTGTTGCCTATGGCTTCAGAGTAATGGGACACACTGTATTTTATACTGTTGTTCCTGATTCTGTATTATTTTGCAGGGTAATGACAACTGATGCAGCGAGCAAGAAGAACCTTGAGAAAAAGTTTATGGATATGAACGGACAAATAAACGTTGATCCATATTACAAAACTGAATGTTATTTGTCCCTGAAATCCAACCTCTAGTTCACACTTCCTCTTTATCTTAGGTCAGAGTGATTAAATCAAGGATACGATATATGGTACATGTAGCATGCATGCAGGAATGTGGTTTTTTTTGCTTGAAAAATCTCAAGGGAAGGATAATATTAAAATGTATCTTAGAGAATTTGGTTTTGAAAGTAGGAACTCTATTCAGCTGACACTGAAGAAGGCACAGTAGCTTTTCTGAACACAGTGGATGAACCCTTAGGTTTCATAACAAAAAAAAAATTGTTTTTTTAATCAGCGGAATAACTATCAATTGCCCAAGACGCCATGCCACAGAGTAATTTACTTAGTGACATTAATGTGCATGGCATATTTTTCCTATTTCTGAAGCATGTCAATGTGTACATTTTCTTCTACATTCATTCACCCTCTTTCAATGTTTCTTAAACATGTATAACACTTTACTTGTAACTATCCTTTGTCTCCTAACACAATCCCATGAGAGCATATAGAAATAAGTAATAACTGGCTCCCTCTTAATCTATTTCAGGTTCAATGTACATAATAATCCTCCCACTACATCTTCTTTTGGTATAGAATGATTAACTAACCCATGAAGCGACTGAAAACTAGGTTTCTTATTTTAAGTATCAATTAGCGTGACTAAAAAACATGTTCCAGTACAAAGGTCTATTTTTAAATATAAATGGGTGTAGTACTGTAATTAAGTTAGAGCATACTGCAGCCAAATAGCAAGGTGACTTTGGAAAGGGCAATGTCAGTAAACAAAAATAATGACCAGTAAATTGTTACTGGCATGAAAAGAGAATTAATATGTTGTGAAGTGTTAACAATTCTAATCTAAACATTTTGTTGTGTGTGTCCCCACTTCTTTACTTCAGCTGTCAACACTCACCCACATTGAGCTTAGAATCCAAGCCATTAACAATGTCAGTCAAAGTAAAAAGTAACACCAAACAGGTTTACACATTGTAACATGGTTCTGAGGAGACTCTGGATCCATGGAAAAGGAAGTTAGCAAGAAGATGGAGAATATTATACAGTAAGAAGCATCTAAATTTGTACTCAATGTAATATTGTTGGCAAGTTGTAAAATTAAGGATGCGACATTAGGACATGAAGTACTCATTTAAGAAACACAAATTAATACGGAATTTCAGTTGGAAGACCTTGAGGGAGAAAAGACATTTACATAAATCAAAGGATAATATTAAAATATGTCTTACAGAAATAGATGTAAGGGGTATGGACTGGATTATACTGTCTCCAGACAGGGTCCAACAGTGGACTTTAATGAACACGAAAGGGAGGAGGAGGAGAAGAAGAAGAAGACACATATGCAGGGCACATGGTAGTGTAGTTGCTTGAGGCACTGTGCTATAAGCTGGAGGGTCATGAGTTTGATTCCCGATGAGGTCACTGGATTTTTCAATCAACCTAATCCTTTCAGCTGCACTATGGCCCTGGGGTCGACTCAGCCTCTAATGGAATGAGTACCAGGAATCTACCTGAGGGTAGAGGGTGGCCTGCACGTAAGGCTGATAACCTCACTGCCATCTGTGAGCCGACTGTCTAAGAAATGCGGGAGCCTCAACATCTCACAACCCTATGGGCCTCCATGGTCTGTTACACGGATAGGCCATTATATGAAAGAGACTGATCATCCATCCATACTACATGTCACACTCATCTCATTCTCCTTGATATAATCCACTTAATATTAGCTGAGGAGTACAAATTATAAAGGTTTACATTATGTAATTTTCCCCTCATTATGTTACTTTCTTTCAACAGGCCAAATGTTCTCCTTAATACTTTGTTCCAAAACACTAATCTATATTCCTTAACTTAATCTAACCTAATTCATATTTGTCATAGATATATAAAGGTATATTAAATATGAGCAAAAGAAAAAAAATTAACTTCAGCTGTGCTGTGTTCCAGTGAACACTATTATTATTTGAAATTGTGAGCAAAAGAGACATATGTAAGTAGTCACTATATTGTTAGAAAGTAATAAAATATGGACTTCCTCTAACCTTTGATTTTCTTCCTGTGCCTGCTGATTAATAATAAATACTGTTACTGCAATCTTGAGAATCTGTGGGACAGAGAAACAGGATGCTAGTTACAGAGATTGGTCAGTAGTCCCTTATATGGGACAAGTAAGGCGAAAGCTAGGCTTGTTATTTAAATTACACAGTAGGATAACAAGAGTGGAAATGTATGTCCAGCACACATACATTCAGAAGTATTTTTAAACTCCAAATCCCTTGACCTTCATTTACCATACTGTAGACCTCAATATACTTCTACATACAACTAATCAAAAATACAGACACTAAAGCACTAAAATCATAAATTTCCTTACTAATGTAACAATAGATATGACACTACAGTGCTTCATCTTCATATTTTCTGAAACATACAACCAAAATGTGTTTCAAATGAAAGTTATGGATCTCAATAAATTGTGTCAAATTATTTTGTATGAAGGGCCATTTTAAGGAAACTGGTGTATGAAGGACAGGAACAAATTTAAAGGCAACTGTTGCCTATTTTAACAGCGGCAGCAGCACCAAAAAGAACTGTGGATATAAACAACATGAAGTTTCCTTCATTTATACCTAGTTAGTTTCTAATGTTTCTGAGTGGTGACATTTTTACCTTGACTACTGCATTGACAGATTTCTTCAAAGAACAATGATCTGTGAACCAGTACTTGTGCATAAAAACTATGGAAATTATGAAAGAATGGCAGTTAAGGGTATGGATTAATGTATGAGACAGTCCCTTGATTTCCAGCTGACATATGAGAATACAGCATAGATAAAATAATAACTGGCAGGAAAAAGCTGATGTACCCAAAGAAAAACCTACCCTAATGCCTCTTTTCACACTGAATTCCATATGGACTAACCCAGGATTGAACCCAGGTCTCCACAGTTGGAAGCTGGTGAATAACCACTTGAGTTATGGGATGGACATGATACAGAAAAGTTTACAGACAGGTGGAAAGTTTCAAATGCTTGTGAACAACTGGTGCTGAAGACAGACATTCTGGGCAGTCATTAATTAACATGTGTTGGGGTTAAATAAATTGATCAGCATAACCAGGATAGCTGAATAATAAGGACTAATAAAACTGTCTGTAATGAGCATGTGACATAGCAAAAACAGTACAAGAAGAGGTTACAGCTGAACAACATTTAATTCTAATGGAAACAGGAAATGTAGTCCATTACCCCATATACACTGAAAACCAGGGTGGTTACACAGAGAAATAACATGTATCTAACTAATGTGTGATTATTTTGTCAAAACTTGTAACAAAACTGCCTTCAATTTTTCACTTATATTCACAGTTTTAAGTGAGGCTCCTGTAAAGCAGAGGTTATATTGGACTAATGTACATCAAAATTAAATTTACTGGACAATGTTTTTCTTCAGATGCATGATGCCAAATATCAACAATCTGCTGACCAGGTCTGTGCAGGACATGGAAAGATGGACATATTCACAGCCTTTCCATTATTCACTGATTCATGAATCATGTACAACAGATCCATCAAAATTAACAAACTAGAGAGTAAGTTACTTTCCAGCAAAATCCGTATCTCTGACTGGATAGACAAGCTTTTCAGTCTGGATGCTCTGCAAGGAAGGATGTGGGATCTTTATTATAAATAAAATCACAAATTTCTTTATTCAATTCTGTGTATAATTGAAGTAAATTTACAATATATACTTATACAACTAAAATCATGAAATGATCACATTAATTCAATTCAGCTTCTCAACAAAATGACTGCAATTCAAGATGGCACAGTGAGTAACTACTCATACAAGGAACAAAATGCAACATCTACTTGACTAATTAAAAGCTTATAAAGGAACATCACAACTCAAATAATCATTCTGCTGGTACATATCCCTATGTAAGCCAAGCAATTATAAACAGATCCACTTTCAGGGAGTCACAATCTCCTGAACAGGAAAGGCACAGAGCTGACAATCATTACATTTCTTGTTCTTATTCTTCACTCACCTGTGGCACATTTGTGGCAGCATACAAAGAAACTGCTAATGCAGACACATTTCTGTATATTCATGCAATACAGAATTTCATTACTAATGCAGACATATTTTCCCATTTATGCAATATAAAACTTGGTTGCTACTGAAGACTAACAGCTCCACATTTGTGCAATACACTATCTTATTACTAATGCAGACAGACATCTGCATATTTCTGCAATGCAGAATTGTATTTATTTACTAACACCTGTATTTGCATTTATGTTTTATTTCACAATGTTCTCAGCAGCTCAGGTTGTAAGTGTGGAATGAATCATGATAAGGAAAAGAGAATTTAAAAGGATGCACGTAGAAGTGACCATGGCATAATTTGTGGTATAATATCAGCACTTGCCTGGAGAGACTGAGGAAAATGACAGAAAACTTCAGTTAGGATAAACAATTTCCAGTCTAAAATGTATGACAACTATAGCAATCAAAATGGTAACAGTCCCTAATGTGACTGAAGGAGACAGTACAGAAATGACATCCCACACCTTATATCTAGAAAGAAGTCATCATGATGCCCCAGCCACCTTCACTCATAGTTGTGGAGTTCTATTTGTTTCAGAATAATGTTATCTGTTGCACTTTACAATTGCTTAGCTAAGATGTGTGGTTACACTAACTTCCTTTTCAGGAAAAAAATATTTTGTGCAACTGTGTAAACATTTGTGTGGGATGAGCCAGGTTCAGCAGATTTTGGAAGCAGAGAAAGAGGCATTTAAAGGAAAAGTTCTCAGAAAAAGTATTATTTTAGGACCTGGTTTATGTAATCTATTTTTCAAGGAAAGGGGTTCCGGTAGAAATTAAGCTGGCACCCACCATGTTTAAAATACTTTCACACAAGTACTACTACAACTGTCACCTTAATACTATGAAACTTATTCTAAATATGACTGAGATTCGAAGTTCATTGTATGACTACATATTGTCCAGCACAGGAATCAGGTGTTTTTAGAATGTGCTGCTGTAGAAGGTAAAGTGAGGTAGGTAAAGTTATATACACAAGGTCAGTATGCAGTTCCTGTAATAATGGTGTACTAACACATAATTAAGTGCATTTACCGCTGAAACTTTTTTTCCAACCACTGACTACTGGTGTGCAAATCTTTTGGCTAAGTGATGATGTGGCAGGGTACTGAGGCACTACAACTGCTGTTCATGCAGCTGCATTGGATGCTCTTCAGCCCAGTACTGCAGTTATCTGATCATTCTCGTGATTCTGACATTCTTCTGATGAAGTTTTAACTGAATTCTTTTTTTATTAAATATCCAATGAGATGAAAATCGGCCTTATCAAGCATTATCAACAGACAACACATCTGGAACATTATCCAAAAATTTCCAAAAACAGGAACTGAGGAACGCCATTTTACCTTCATCCTTTGTGTGTTGAGAAATCTGAATTTTGTAAGGACGTTAACTCAAATCCTTTTGTACAATCCATTTGATAGCTGTGTTTGAAATTTCTACTGCAAATGAGTGTTGCACAGCTGAGCAAGATGGAGTCTGTTGGACTGATTCTTCAGTCTTTCAGTGCCCTCTGTGTGAAGCGAATGTACAGGGGAAGGACAAAAATATGGAAACACCTCATGAAATGCATGCCTGAATTGAATGTTTATTTTAGCGACGTTTGTAGGTGATGCTGTTGTATCTGCCCAATATCACTACCTATACAACCTCCACAATATGTTGCAAGCTTCATTTGTTGTCGAGACAGTGTTCTGTGCAATTTGTAGTGCTAACAGAGCTAACAGAGTTCGAACGCGAGCATATTGTTGGGGCCCATATGGTGGGTGCTTCCGTAGCCAAGGTTTTTGGTGTTTTGCGAGGCACATTATCAAAGATTATGACCACATAGAGGAGGATTGGAAAAATGGCATCCGATAAACACCAGCGTGGACGGTAATGTATGCTAAGTGATCGAGACCGATGAATATTGCGTGGGATTGTGACAAAAAATAAGACTACAACTGCAAATCACAAACCCTGTCAGCACCAAAACAGTATGGAGGGAACTCCACAAGCAGGGTATTTCTGGACAAGCTGCAATTCCAAAGCCACTCATCAGTGATCAAAATGACACTAAGAGGAGAGTGTGGTGCCGAAGTCATAAAACCTGGACTATGGAGCAATGGAAGAGAGTCATCTGATCGGATGAGTCCACCTTCACACTGTTTCCAACTTCTGGCCGAGTTTACATCTGGAGAACACCATCCCATGCCTACGAACCAGATTGTTTGCTGCCAAGAGTGAAAACATGGCAGGAGTTCAATCATGTTATGGGCAGCCATATCATGGTATTCTGTTGGACCCATCATTACTCTGCAAGGTCACATCACTGTCAACGACTATGTGACCATTTTGGGTGACCAGGTCCATCCTATGGAGAAACTTTGTTCCCCAGTGGTGATGCCATTTACCAAGACGACAGTGCCTGTGTTCACACAGCTCACATCGTCCAGGACTGGTTTACTGAGCATGAAGATGAAGTGTCACATCTGCCATGGCCCCCACAATCACCAGATATTAATATTATTGAGCCTTCGTGGTCTGTTTTGGAGAGCAATCTGCATGCGCACTATCCACCTCCATCATCGTTAACAGAACTTGCCCATATTTTGCAGGAAGAATGATACATGATTCCCTTGCAAATCATACAGGACCTCTATTTATCCATACCAAGGAGCCTGCAAGCAGTTCTACAAGCCAGAGGTTGTCCTACACCATATTAGTCACAGTAATGTGTTTTTTGTTGGGTGTTTCCCTATTTTTGTCCATCTCCTGTACATTACCAACAAATCTTGAAGTTCCATAGATATGATCATAAAGATCATTCATCCTCTTTGAACAGTACTCCACTTTGGAATTCTTACATACTTTGACAAATCAAATTCAGCCTAAAATTTTTTGTCTGCACAACAGATTATGTTAAAAAAAAGTTCAGCAACAAATGTACATTAATTCATGGGCCAGTTAGCCATGATTACTGACACTTCATACAATCTTAAGTAGGCTCATACACAACAGCTCCTAATCCTGCTTCTCCTCCTCCAACAGTCCATTTTAAAATCACTTCAGTGACAGACCCTGCACTATTAAAACTTTCAACTGACCCCAAGGACAATTCGACAAATATTAAAATATGTATGCTCAAAATGTCTATGTTGGCAGACATGCCAAAAGATATTCTAACAGCAATATCTTTCAGTTTACTACATTTATAATATAGTAAAAGTTTTAAATACAATAATTTATGTAAGTTATGCAATATTATCATAAAAATGAAGGCTCCATAACTGCAATGATAAATGTTGGTCTGCATTTTATTTAACAATACAGTACTAACTGTGTAGGTTATTTANGGCTGTAATAACACAAATTTCTCTAAGGGGCCCAAATCTGAATTCAAACTGCTTTAACAGTTATCTTCAGTTAGAACAAGTTGACCAATTTTCACAAAGGACTAATTCTATAATGTGAGGCAAATCAGCAAATCCTGTCATTAACTATCTGGTTCTCATGTCGTGAATAATTTTTTTTCCCCTTGGCACTACAGCCCCAGTGGGACTAGGCCTACCTCCATGAACTTCTCCGTTCACTTCGGTTTTTCTAGATCATACACATTCGGTAGGACTCCTTGGGCGGGTGATCAGCTCGTCACAAGGCCTCTACCTGTACACAAACACAGATAAACGCACACACACAAACTAAACATCCATGCCCTGAGTGGGATTCGAACCCATATTTCCGGTTACCAAGCGAGCGAAGACAGTACATACCTTAAACCGCTCGGCTACCGCGACCAGCGAATTATATATTTACCATGTAAAATGGCATCCAACATATGGTAATTTTGTATATAATCTGGTGCTGCTCATGAAAGAAACATTTTTGGCATATAAGACATAGGAAATCTGGAAGATTATCTGGTATTATTTATTCTGAACCATAATTAATTTTTATTCCCACTTCCTCATCTTCCTCCACTTTCAATTGAAGTGCACCACAAGACTTCATCTCTCCAAGGGTCTAATGATTCTGAGTTTTGGGCATTTTTCAATAAGCAATCTAGTAATATTCTGTGCAAACTGACAGGTTGGAGACCAATAGACTTCCTCCAGATGTTTCAGTGTGGCCTGTTGGAGGGCCTCTTCCAACATTTCACAGTTGATATTGTTACGTAAGTACACAACAAGCTTCCTCACATTTTTACACTGATGCAGAAAGAACCTTGGCCAAGATGTGCCAGGGAAATTAAGATGAAGACATTCCACTGACTCAAAGCCAGGGAGACGCGGATGTGCATAGTCTTCTGAAGAAGGAACAGTTTCATCATAAGCAATTAGATGCAGGCAATATAACGAACAGCAATGTTCCCCAATAAATTTAACATCCAGAGCTTCAGCATAAATGAGATGTAGGTATACCAACTGACTACCTATTGCACAAAGAAGCTGTCTGACTTCAGTAAACTTGATGTTTGACAACCACAGTCCTCGCAAATATTTCAGGTTTTTCAACGGAGTAAGATCACATTCGTTACTACAAAGCAGTTTGAGTTCAACAAGATTGGGGAAATGTTCAACGAGGAGACTGAGATGCAAGGATGAAATGTTGTAACATCCAAAACTCAATAACTGTGAAGAGCACATCTGAGAATCTCTGTCTCCAGATCCTGTATTCGCAGCCAATCCATTCAGCAACTGCGTAAGACCATTTTGAGATATTTTTCCCATTACACTTAGTTCCTCCAAGTGTCGTAACTTCAGGATGGCACCGACACTCACGTCAGTAACATTTGGAGACCAGCTGACATGAAGACGCTTTAGTCTCTTGCAAGACTCTGTGACAGCTTCCAACAGAGCATCGCTACATTTGTACATAGATGTAAACTCTTCCAGGCTCTCAGCCACACGCACACTGTTTGTCCACATTCTGTGGCAATACTGATTTCCAAGTCGTATTACTTTAAGATCATTCATTGTGCACAAATTGTTAAACAGAAAGAACACAATAAAGTTCAGTTCATATCTGTAGTCAAAACTGTGCATGTGTTCTGAACCCAACTCAAGCCTTGTCACACCAGGATGGATAATGGCACTCAGTAACTCATAGATCACTTCCTGACACCAGGACTCACTGATACAGTCACGTATGTCATCATACAAGCTATCAATCCGTTTCAACAACTTAACTGTCATTTTATTTGCTATTATGGTTGGCAATGTGCAGTGCAGTATGTACTTAAGTTGTCTGCATCTCTCTTGGGCATGACGTACCTTCTTGCTCTCTGGCACTTTGTTTTGCATCAACTGCACACAGAGCTGAGATACATGGTCTTCAATTGCACTCAGGGCAAGATCCTCCAGCGTATGTGGTTTAATGAACTGTGGCATGATGATCTTACTGGAAAAAAAAAATAAATCAATGGGTGTGATCAGTCAGCAGAATGGACTGTCCTGTGTCAATGATAATTAATTCTATGCCACTGCAGCTGTCTTAACAATTTTAGATGTTAAACCACTGGAAAAAATTACAGAGAATTCACATCTCACATACCCAAAACAGGTATAACAAAGGAAACAAGGAAAACACATGATGAGAGACCAATAAACCTGAGAATAAAATATTAAGAATATACTGAGAGGGAGAGGAATAAGGCTGCATAAGACTAATATCAAAAACAAGAAAAGCTAGGCTGCTCTCTGCAATACCTTTAGACCATTACACAGAGGAGGACCAACTGTGAAACTAAGGAAGTGTGTTGTCTATTGTACAGCTTTGGAACGTATTTTCATTCAAAATATGACAAATTTTAACCCTTTTTCAAGTTGCTGTAGTTTACTGAATTGGTTAATGAAATTCTGACATCTCTAGCTTCAGACTGTCAAACACTTTCCTTCAGAGCCCTGCCATACTTCAGTTAGATCAATGTTTAAAGGCTGATTTTACATTACATGTAATTCACAAGCATATTAAGGTATGGTAAAAGCATGCAAAATATTTTATTTTACTATGATTTCTGTAAGCTTTGTTCAGTTATTAGATAGCAGTATGGCAATTCTTGCATAACCTTTAGCAATAGGCTTTGGACTAGGAGAGATACTCTGCTAACATTCTAACTGCACGTTTTGTATTAATACCGTGGTTCTCAAACTTTCTGGACTCTGGGCCAGTAAAATAGTGGGTTTTCCAGGGACCAGTAACTTGTCCTTTTCACAATGTATAATAAAATCAGTAATTCACATACCTAATTATTACTAGCACATCCAAACATGTCTGTTCATGGCACAAAAATTAATAACTTCACATGGTACTTAAATAAAAAAACTTAATCATCCAAACTGAATATTCACAATTAAAAATTATGTTCAAGGATATGTGAAATAACTGAAGTTTTCATACATATCTCTTTCAAGGTTTGGGATCTGTAAAGTGTTGGACCACCCTCCTTACAGCCCTGATCTCGCTCTGAGTGACTACCATCTGTTTACCTACATGAAGAACTAGTTGGAAACACAGTGCTTCAACGGTAATGAGAAGTTGATGGATGGTGTGAAAACGTGGTTAAGCTCACAGGCAGCAGACTTCTTTGGCACAGGCATACAAAAACTTACCCTGACACAAGTGCCTCAATTACAGTGGTGACTATGTTGAGAAGCAGCTTAAGTAATTACATTTTTTGTATATAATAATTTTTTTCCCTTGTTGCTTGTTTTGTTAACATTTCACAGGAGGTTACTTTCCAAATAGCCCTTATACATTATACAGTGTTGAATGAGATGCAAAGATGAGTGTAAGAAAGGCCACAATTATACACTATGGCCTATTTCAGTCTCAGAATTTGCCTGAACAGACTATGGAAAATCACAAAAAAAAAATCAGGGAGAACAGATGTTAGTGTTGGCAAGATCTGAACAGGATACCTTCTTGATAAATGTTTAGAACATTAGTATTATACCATTTTGCTAGTTACCTCTATAATGAAAATCTGGCAAATGACTACCTGTGTTGTGGTACAATTCCAAGTTCACAATGCCACAGCCTATTTCTTTAATATCTATATCAATATCAATAATATCAATAGTATCTTTCCATCCATGCTTAGGTATCTCAAGTCATATTAAAACATTCAAGTAAATAGCCATCACATTCATGTTATTCCATTTAGATAGAAAGTGAGTGTGTCTTACATCTACATGAACTGCATATCACTGAACACTATAATCTGGAGTTGAGACCTTGCAGATGCACTGATGGAGCATATTTTAGCGATGAGAAACAAACAAGGTTGTACATGGAAAATAAGGGGAAAAGTTGGGGGAGAGATGAAAAAAAGACTTTAAAAAACAGAAATTACTGTTAACAGAACCACAACTCAATAAACCAATACTGAAGATGCACTGAGAAATTATGACCACAAAGTGCTTGAAAGCCACTGAATACCTTACACAACAGTGATTACTGTACAGCTAACATGATGGTGATCATCCAGGTGGCACAAACATGTACCAAGGTTAAGCAACACTTCAACATTGGCTGTGAGCATTTTAACATTAATTGTGAACAACATGCTACATATCAGTCACACAATAATTTTTGTTACAAACAAAATCCATTCCACTTGTAAAATATGGCCACTTTCTTAAATTAAATTTTTTGTGCATGTTGTTGATGGTGGAAGCATCAGGTGTATAGGGAAAACATGACCTCGAAAGAGCTTCAATAACCAGGCATCATCAGACAACACATTGCACTACACATGACATATGAGTGTTCATCACACTGCATGACCATGCTGTGTTACACAGAAAAGCTCTGAGATATTTAATTAATTTTATCATTTATGTATTTTACATTCCATTCTTCATGCTTAGACATACAGTGACACTGACACTCATATATTTATGGTGAATTATTTCTAGTCACAATACAAATTTCAATGAAGATGAGTGTACTGGATGGTACATCTGCTTCACATTCCAAAGGTCCCAGGATTAAACCTTTCCCCAAAGACTAATTATTCTGAGATCTTCTTTCATTGTTATGTTCAGGAAAATGGTGGGACAGCAGTTGGACATACCACAACACTGCCTCATCCTACCCTTCATTTGTCATTCTCCACTATACGAGCTTTGTAGCTGATGAGAAAATTTCTTCTACCTGACAGAAAGTTGCTTTGTCACAAGACATACACACAACATAAACAGACACGGATCATGACTGTGAAAGGGCTTATATCAATCTACGCATATAATTCCTGTATACCTATCCTTCATGCTCCATATCTCCTGAACGATCAAGAATAAAATGCTTGCTGTCTACTTCACGCTAGTTTCTTGCTTGGCTTACTCTTCAACCATGAAGATGGAGGTGATATGTTCCACCAAAACATATGTAGACTTTTACCAGACTACACAATGGTTGAGGCACTATGCTACAAGCCGGAAGGTCTCGTGTTCAAGTCCCAATGAGGTCACTGGATTTTTTCAATTTACCTAATCCTTCCAGCCACACTATGGCCCTGGGGTCGACTCAGCCTCTAACAGAAATGAATACCAGGAATTAATTAAATAATTTTCCTGGGGAGTAAAGCGTGGCCCGCGCGTAAGGCTGACAACCTTACCGCCATCTTTCAGCCGATTGTCTAGATAATGTGGGACCCTCAAAGTCTCACAACCCTATGGGCCTTCACGGCCTGGTACAGGGATAGCTTTACTTTTACATAGCATTATGTCTCTGATGATCGAACTCTTCAATAAAATGCTCAGCGTGATGACAATGGCTGATAAAAGACATGATCTGACATATATAATTTCTCAGAAGGGGATCTCTAGTGAGAAAGAGACTGGTGAAGTGGCAAGAAATGAAGCGTGGGCTCTCAAGTTTGGTTCTTGACACCCAGCATCAGTAAATGTGTCCTGAATAATAGACAATTTTTCATCCAGTTGTGAGTTGTTAGTGAGTTCTGCAGTTCACTTCATATTGTTTCAGAAAATTATATCAGTTTAACGTTGTCATAGCATAAATATATTTTATAAAGAGTACAAATCCTTGTAAAATACACACACTAACAACTCCTTTATCTGATATTAAATATGATCCAAACAATGTTCGGCTGGAGGTCACTGACTTGCTGGGTGGCGGCAAATTAAAAAAGAAGTCTATTACCATGAAGCCTTCTGAATTATTTGGATTGTTAAGTGAATCAAAACACACTAACTTGGAAGACCTTTGAAAGAAAAATGTTTTCAATACTTGCATTAATATATATAAATATATATATATATATATGTGTGTGTGTGTGTGTGTGTGTCAGCAAACGTTTTCTCTAACGAGAAGGAACAAACCCAAAATCATGGTTTGAATAGCAGTTGAATACTTAAGTGCAATCTTGTGCATTGCAACATCTGCATGTAAACCAAACATCAAGAAGCTTGTCAGCAACTGCAAGCAGCACCACGTGTCACATAATGTGGAAAGTAATGAAATTCATTATGCACTTTACACATTTCCCCTTAAGAAATCTTTCAAAATGTTATGCTTACTTCCTTCTGACCCATAAAACAAATGAAACCCATAATCTGACCCTTAATTCTGAAGTCCTTTGATACCTGGGCTAATCAAAGAGTGTTCAATGCATAACAACACTCGGTAAACCCCCCTCCCCACTAGGCTTTGATGTCAAGCAACAGAGGAATCCGTGCAGCAACTGTTGCTAGCCAATCGGTAAACACGTTTTCTGTGTGGTCAGTGCGGAAGCTACATAATGAGAGTACTCATCAGTGTTGAGGCAGAATTCGAGATGATATCCCACTTTGTTCTTAGGGGTTTATTTCTCGTTTTTCATGTATTAGTTTACCTATTGTGTTGGCTGTTTTGAAGGCTGTCTTTATGTTAGTGTTTTTGAATAGTTTTGTGATTTTTCATATGTAATTTCCTGTATAAGTAGAAGTGACTCATTTTGTTCTTTTTTTGTCTTTATTATCCAGGTTACCCGTCTTTCGCGTAAGTTTGTTGTATAGGTGTGTGATGTCTTCCTTTCTATAGCCATTGTTTAGTGTTATATTAGTGATAGTGTTTAATTCTTTGTTTTTAGCGTTTTCCTCAGAGGGGGGTAGTGTAACAGGTCTGTGTATCCAGTTTTTATATGCTAGCAATTTTTGTTCTTTAGGGTGGCATGATTTATTATTTATTGTTGTGTCTGTTGTCATGTTTTTTTTTGTATATTTCCATTTCTGTTTGTCCGTGTCTGTTAAATATATTTAAGTCCGGGTAAGCTAAATTTTTTAAAAAATTAAAAATTTTGATACCAGGAAGGCTGCTGTGATTGTGAAAAGTTGAATATTGTGTACATTGTGTATTCCAGGCATTATGTGTGTATGTAGTTTAACAATCAGAACACCTACTGTGATGGTGGTTTCCAAATAAGTATTGATGTTCCCTTTGAAGATGATCCGTAAGTGTGTGTGTGTCTTTCTCTCTCTCTCTCTCAAGTCTCAATTCTGAGACAGTAAAATATGGTCGCGAGTCCCAAGGGACTTGGACCCGAGAAAGACTGCACTGGCAGGAGCCAGCAGCATATACAAAAGACAGACCCGTCCTCTCGTCAGAGAAGGCGCCCCCACAGAAACAAGACCGTAACTGTGAAACGATAATAATTAATGTCTGGTCATGAGCCCCAAATGGAGCTCGACACCAAGACTTACTGACTGACCATCAGTCACAATGTAACTCTGACTCTGACTGTTGAGGCAGAGAGAACCCCATGTGGAGGTGGGGTCGAATACCTCCATTGTGACCCTGCGAGTCATAGGAGGCAATGAAAAGGGAAGTCTCAAATGTGAGACAGTAAAATATGGTCGCAAGTCCCAAGGGACTAGGACCCAAGAAAGACTTCGCTGGCAAGGGCCAGCAGTATATACAAAAGACAGACACATCCTCTCGTCAGAGAGGGCGCCCCACAGAAACAAGACCGTAACTGTCGAGGAGTAATAAATATCTGGTCATGAGCCCCAGGAGGGTGCTCGATACCAAGACTTGCTGACTGACTGACCATCAGTCGCAATATGACTTTGACTTTGACTTTTGTTGAGGCAGTTACAAGTTATGAGTATTGAGAAGTTGAGAGCAGCGGAAGCAGGCGCGACGCAACCAGGAATGCCAAGTGTGATTTAGAAGACTTCATATGTGCGATGGTGTGTGCAACAGTGGATTAGAAGATCTGGTGTATGTAAGTCAGCGATAGAGCTGTATTAGAGTGTAATTGAGTGCGTGTAACTAAACTTTTAATAAATCCAATCATCTGAACTAGAACCCATCATTTCGTCAAGCGTACCCCCATACACATGACAATATATATGCTTTGTTCCCTTCCTGATATTTTGTAAACAGAATAGTTCAAAGCACCAAATGTAAAATTGTGAATGACTATGTTAGAAGGGCAGCACAGAAGACAGTAGCAATGTTTTCCTTTAACCCTCGTGTCAGTATACACTCTTCCAATGGCCAATAACAAAGACAAAACTGTTCTCATAAAACACATACAGAATATCCAACTGACAAAATATCACTGGCAGTTGTATTTCTTAAAATTTTTATTGGCAAAAAAATTGCTTGCACACTCACACACATTTACTTTAAATGATTGGTGATAACCATGAAACCCTTCAGATAGAATCAAGTGGTCCACAGTCAGAGATTCAAACCAGGTACCCCTAGAATAAGACACTCCTATCCACAACATCTACTGCAACATTTGGTTAGATCTGATGTGGAATCCTTTCAAATGCAAAGTCACCACAAGATGGAATTTCCTAGCTCTGAGTCCAATTATTCTTTGGGTCCTGGGTGAAGGGACCCAAGTACCATTTACTGCCAGTAACAGTGAGGTTTATACACTTCTTCACTTACACGTCTTCTAAGGCTTATCTTTCCTCCCAAAACAAGGAAAGTAGATTTAGAAGATTTTAAGAAAAATTAATGGATTGGTAGAAAAAATATATTATGCAGAAACAGCATATTTTGGAAACATATTATCTTAACATAAGACAGTTTACCTGTATAAATTCATGCAATACTGACATGAACACTGGTATAAACTAATGCTCCTAAAATATATCAGTGTTCTAATAATACACACCCACAGCCTTGTCTGAAGTGATAAGTGGCTAGGAAAATGTTTACACTATCTTAATGGGGAGGCAAATCCTGCATCACTTAACAACAAACAGACAAATGATTAGATCGTAATATAATGTTGATATTTTCTTGCCAATCAGCAGCTACATCAACAAAACAATCTTCCAATACAGAAAAATACATGGCCTTATGGGGGATAAAGTAGGAAATGGATGATATAAATTAACCCTTCTAACTGATACTGTTCTTATAGTATTGTTGATGCAACAGAATCAAGGAAAGCGATAATGGGGCAGAGAAAGCTCAGA